TCAATTCCTCAGCACCACATAAACAAAAAGAAAAAAGCCAGAAGTGGCACTGTAGCTCAAGTGGTAGAGCGCTAGCCTTGAGCTGAAGAGCTGAGGGACAGTGTCCAGGCCCAGAGTTCAGGCCCCACGACCAGACCAAAAAAAAAAAAAAGAAAATTGTTTTACAGTTTATCTGACCCTCCTCAACTAATTTGGGGAAAAGAGAGGCAGAGAAGGATTTTATTTTGTAAATTTTTAGATTCAAGTGGTTATAAAATATGAAACCAAAGGAGATATCCATTAGGCAGTGATTTGCGTAAGTATAGAGAGCAGAGGACAAGCGCTCCACAGCAACTCTACACTTATGAACCAGTACACTGACACTGTTTTAAAGATGTCTGAAAGTAGCTAGGCGCCCATGGCTCATGCCTGTATTCCTAGCTACTCGGGAGGCTGAGATCAAGACCACAGTTCAAAGCCAACCTGGGCAAGAAACGCTATGAGATTCTTATCTCTAATAAATTACTCAGAAAAAGCCAACATAGTGCTGTGGCTCAAATGGTAGAGTGCTAGCTTGAGCACAAAGAGGCTCAGGGACAGTGCCCAGGCCTTGGGTTCAAACCCCCCAGACCAGCAAAAAGATGTCTGAAAGTCTTTGTTAATATAACTAAAATAATTCAAACCAAAACCTTTATTATCCTTGGCAAACCAGATTTTTAAACTTGTTACTTCTTTGCAATTTTGGGGGGGATAGAGCATTAAACAAAGGGCTTTGAAGCACTGTACCATTTGAGCCATGGCTCCAGTCCTTGGTACTCTAGGTTTTTTTGGGGGGGAAGGGGTTGGAAGGGTTTTCTGCCAATCCTGGGACTTGAACTCTGGGCCTGGGTGTTGTCCCTGAGCTTTTGTGAGTTACCACTTGAGCTATATCTCCACTTCTGGCTTATTTTTTGTAGTGTTTGTTGTTTTGGTGCTTGAACTCTGGGCCTGGGCACTGTCCCTGAGCTCTTTTGTACAAGGCAAGCGCTCTACCACTTGAACCACAGTACCACTTCCGGTTTTCAGATCATTTACTGGAGATAAGAGTCTCATAGGGGCTGGGAAGGTGGCTCAGCTATAGAGTGCTTGCCTTGCAGGCATGAGGCTCTAGGTTCCATTCCTCAGCACCACATACAAAGAAAAAGCTGGAAGTGGGAACTGTGGCTCAAGTGGTAGAGTGCTAGCCTTGAGCTAAAGAGCTCAGAGACAGTGCCCAGGTGCAGAGTTCAAGCTCCACGACCAGAAAAAAGAAAAAAAAAAGTTTCACAGACTTTGCTGCCCCGGCTGGCTTTTTTTTTTTTTTTTGGCTGGTCGTGGAACTTGAACTCTGGGCCTGGGTGCTGTCCCTCAGCTCTTCAGCTCAAGGCTAGTGCTCTACCACTTGAGCCACAGCGCCACTTCCAGTTTTCTGATGGTTAATTGGAGATAAGAGTCTCAAGGACTTTCCTGCCTGGGCTGGCTTTGAACCGAGATCTTCAGATCTCAGCCTCCTGAGTGGCTACAGGTGTGAGCCACTGGCGCTTGGCTTTTTTTGGTAGTTTTAGTTGAGTCTCACAGACTTTCTAGCCCAGGCTGGTTTCCAACCACAATTCTCAAACTCAGTCTACTAAGTAGCTAGGATTACAGGCACGAGCCAGTGGTGGTGCCCAGCATCTCTGGTTATTCTTGAGACATTCCTGGGCCAGACTGAAACACAATCCTCCCCTTTATGCTTCCTGCTGCAGCTGGGATGATATGCATACCATACTCAGCTTTTTCTGTTCTGATGTAGTTTAATGAAATTTTTTGCCCTGGCTCGCCTGAAACCAAGATCCTTCCTATCTCAGCCTCCTAAATAGCTGGAAAAGACAGGTGTGTGCCACTGTGCTCAGCTATTAGTTGACATACGGTTCCTCAAATCTTCTGGCCAGACTGGCCTTGAACCACAATCTTCCCGATCTCCACCTCTCTAGCTAGGGGTTAAAACCTTCCTTTCAGATACTAAAATTTTAACAAATATACAACTAGTGTTAGCTAAATGATTAGGAAAGATGGAGTTTATATTGGTAATTTCTCCTAAAGTTATCCTTCTCTAAAAACATCTAAGGTCACCTGTGCATAGTACTCCCAGCTACTCCAATGGCTGAGGCAAGAGGATCAATTGAATACAGGATTTCAAGACCTGTACTGGCAGCAAACAAGACCAGCACTCCCATCTCAAAAAAAGAAAATAAAACCTGGCTGGATGAGGTCGGTCACACCTGTAAAGCTAAGCTACTCAGGAGGAAGAGAGCAGGCGGATCATTCCAGAGCTGAAACTTTTTTCCCTTCTGATTTTCACCTACAAAATTTATAGCTAGGGCTGGGAAGGTGGCTCAGCGGTAGAGCGCTTGCCTTGCATGCATGAAGCCCTGGGTTTGATTCCTCAGCACCACATAAGCAAAAAGAAAAAAGCCGGAAGTAGCACTGTGGCTCAAGTGGTAGAGCACTAACCTTGAGCTGAAGAGCTGAGGGACAGTGCCCAAGCCCAGAGTTCAGGCCCCACAACCGGACCCAAAAAAAAATTTATACCTACCAACCTATACCTGATACCACAAGTTTGAGCCAGAAATCCAGCTGCCTTTTGGCCATTTACACCTGAAGGAACAGCCATCCAAACTCAACCAACAGAATCCCCGTATCTTTCTTTCATGACAAAATTAAAACAAAATTTCACTCTTCCTTTATGTGGCTTCCCAGCTCAGAAAAAGGCACAGCTAGAAATTTGTTTTGTACTCTATGCACTCTTCTACCCCACTTCAAGTTCAAACAGTCAGCTTGTCAAATACCAACACCTAAGTTACTGTCGTTCACCTGGACTGCCTTCACAAAGCCTGTTTAAACCTTCTTTTATCTACCTATTTGCTACAGCCAGCAGATTTTAAAAATAAAAATCAGATCTTTTCAGCCCCTACTTCAAATCCTTCAATGATTTATCTGATAAGTTTTAAGTCATTATGAAAACTAGTGACAGCATTGAAGTTCAGAGGCTCAGTGAAAATAGGAGGAAGTGGAGCTGTGGCTCGAAGTGATAAGAGTACTAGCCTTAAGCCAAAGAGCTCAGGGACAGCACTCAGGCCCCAAGTTCAAGTCCCACGACCGACAAAAAAATAGTAATTTTTGAGGGATATTCACTGCAAAAGAATCATTAGGAATTTTTCAAATTAAGAAATGTACTTAAATATACACAGAACAGCTTACGTATATTTAATGTATGTGGTACTATTTGTTAAAGCCAAGCTGAAAATAACCTCAGGTCTGTCAAAATGGAATACTATCCAGCCCATAAGTGATGTAGAATTAAGTGAAAAAAGCAAGCTATATACACTGTATAGTATGCGACCACCTGTATGTGGTGTATGTGTCTTAGTACAAGCCTAGGCTGGAAACATCCCAAGGATGATTCAGGAGAAACAGTGCTTGCTCTACAGAAAGAAAGCGGGTGCTAGAGGATGGAGAGACTTGTACATTACTCTTCTGAACCTTCTGACTGTCTACTTAATACCTATAATTTCAAAACGATTTTCTCCCTGCTCTGTTACACACACGCAAAGTTAAAAAAAAAATACCGATTACAAAGACCTTTTTACCTTTCACCCCTACATCAATGTTAAAAGTGCCCTGTCCTTTGTTGTAACATGACATCCTTCTTGACATCTCAGAGGTACAACTTCAGCCATTTTCTTCAACATTTTACAACTATTAAGAAAGCTGTAGGTAGTTACATCAATGAATACGGTGTGATTTCTTTTACCTGTCTCTTGGAGAAGACAGCAGCACTAGAACAGAAAATTAAAAGCAAACTGACCTGTTGGAAGATAGGAGGAACTACAAATCACGTTTTTCTAACAAGTTCAAAAACAGAAAATTCAAAATCAAGTCCCTTGTATACTACAAACGAGTGCAAAATATCATTAGAAATCTCTAAAGCCATGAAGTAGATGGCACTACATGGTGACATTCACTAGTGTAATGTGATGTGAGGCTTACAGAAGCCTCTAAAGTGTCAGATTTGCACTCATTTACTGGTTCTACCCAAGAGACAAGATGATGAACAGAAGGCTCTGTGATCTTACAAAGATCTCACACTCTCACTAGAACACACACACTCCCTCCCTCCCCCCCCCCCCCGTTTAAAAAAAAAAAAAAACCCACAAGCCCAGATGCTCCAAACACGGGAGGGAGGGGGTATTTTGGAAGGCCCCCTTAAGCCCCACTGGGGGTAACACACCAGACTGACCACATATCCCCACCAAAGTTCCTGCCAAATCTCTTTCAACAACAACACACACACCAAAAAAAAAAAAAAAGAAGACGACCAAAGTGTGCTTGAGATCTGCCAGAGAGGGTCCAAGGGGTAAAAGAGAGGTGGACCTCAGGCTACAAGGGGTGAGGGAGATGGGCATTTCACGGGCAGATCCCAGGATATAAGGGGTGAGGGAGAGCCCCGCGTGTGTGATGGGCATCTCAGGGGTGGACACCCCCCCATCCCCAGATCCCAGAAGGTAAGAGCGCATCAGGCCGCGTACAGGCGTCGGTGGGAAAAGATCTGGCGGCTTCGGGGCGGTGGGGTGGGGGAACTCCTTAGCAGACGGGCCAGGGCAGCGCGGATCTAGGGGATCCCCTGGACTCTCCGGTCACGGGGGGATCAGGGGGCGGCCGCGGCTGTCTCCGGCCGTGGCCAGACGTAACGGGAGTCCTGGGGGACCGGCGGGGTGCGCGGGCTGCGCGGGCTGGGGAGACCGTGACTCGACCGCCGCACAGGCCGGTGTCTGGCCAATGGCGACGCTGGGGTGGGGTCTCCGGGGTGGGGGGCGCTCGGGCGGCTCCGGGCGGAGGAGACGCGCTCGCGGGGCGTCCCCGGCGGGGTGGGGCGGGGCAGGCTCGCGGGAGCCGGGGAGTGAAGCTGCGGCGTGGACCGGGCCGGGCCGGCCGGGCCCGCGGGCCGCCAGGGCGGGTCTTACCTCGGGCTGAGCCGCGGGGGCCACCGCGGCCCCGTCCGCTTCGGCGGAAGCCGCCTCCCACCCTGGACCCCAGGGTCCGGCTGCTGGCGGCGGCGGAGGCCGAGGCGGCGCGAGGCTGGGGGGCGGGGAAGGGGGCGTCGGGCGGCTCCGAGAGGGTGGGCCCGGCCGCCTCAGGGTCCCGGAGAGCGGCTACCGCGCACTCCGCGCCCTGTCAGGGAGGCCCCGCCCGGCCGAGCTCATCCCCCGTCCCGAACGCGAGCGCCGAACCGCCGCCTCACCGGCGGCCACGCTGATCCCGGTGCTTCGAGTGCCTCCGCCGCGGCCCTTCACACGGTCTCTGTCAGTCGCTGCCAACCGCCGCGGCCGCGGTCCCCGCTCCGCCTCGGCCTGGCCTGCGCGCCCCCGGCTCAGCGCACGCGGCCCCGCCCCGGGCGACTCTCGAGCCGCAGGGGAGCCGGCGCGCGCGCGCACTGGCCTCCCACGCCCCCGACAGCCCGCCTCGGCGGCCCCGCCCGGCCCCGCCTCCGCACGTGACGCCGCCGAGGCGGGCAGTCTGCGCGTGCGCGGGCACGCCTCCTCCCTCGATCCCTCCGCCCTCAGCTTCTGTTCCTCACCTTACGGCCGAAGTTGGGCACTCCAAGCTCCACACTCTACGGAGTCAGCAGTGTCGCAAGTCTGGGAATGGTGGGGGAGGAGGGCGGGGGAGGAGGGAACTCTGTGTTTGCGACCGTAGCGCTCACTTTCCGGCTAACACCGAGGTGCCTGAAGTCTGGCTGAGGTGGTGAGGCCCGGGTGAGGTAAGACGCCTCCCCCTCCGCTGGGGTTTGTCCCGTGTGTGGTTTGTCCCACGTGTGGCGCGCCTTTCCTCACACGCAGGTTCTGGCGCCCTCAGTTAGGGAAACTGAGTCTCGAGGGTAGTAGAATAAAGAAGTTACAGAAAACGGCCTCAACAGACCCGAGCAACTTTCACGGAAAGTTGAAGAGGGACGCCGTGGTGGTCACCTGGGGAGGGTCCGGAGAAACGGCCCTGTGTAACGGGGACAAGGGGTGGAGGGACTTAAGTCGGGGTGCTGGGGGAGGGGGGGCAGGGTCGCAGGTGGCTGGAGGGTTCGAAGAGTTTCGCGAGTGTTATGGTACGGGTTGTTTGCGCGAGTCTCCCGGACGGTCTCCCTGGCGCCCCTCACCTGGGAAGGTGGGGAGAGTGAGCTGTCACCTGTAGATTTAAGATTCTGGGCTGGAGCTGAAGATCCTGTCGAGCAACACTGAGTTGTGAGACTACAAAGCAGATTCCCATCAGGTTCCCCCCCCTCTCCCCACCTCTCCCACCTCTCCCTGCAGCGCGCCGCCCCTCGCCGCCGTCCACACGCGCTCGCGCGCCCTCCTCCCTGCCCCCCACCCTGGGCTCGGCTCCGGCCCCGCCTCCTGCCGCCTGACTCCTCCCCCGCCGCCGGCCGGCTCCGGTCCCGCCCCCCGCCGCCAGGCCCCGCCCCCCGCCGCCAGGCCCCGCCCCCTTCCCGCGGCTTGGCCCCGCCCCCTGCCTCCGCTCGCAAGTATTCCTTTTCCATTCATTCCGCAGACTTTTCGCTGAGTGGGTTCCACGCCTCAAGTGCCCCATACAGAAGCGAATGGAGACAGGGTCAGCTTTTTGAACCGCTCTCTTATTTAGGAGACAATCCACAGTGACAGCGCAGTCATTATATAGGACGCCCTTTCCACTTGTAGCTGAGGGCATTTCCCAGCTGACTTTCTCTAGAAGATTTGTTAAGAGACTTAATGAGCAGTAGCTGGTCACAGAAATGGGAGGGGAGGCGAAGGAGACAGGACAGTCCCTGGTGGGAGGGGGAAGGAGACAGAGATGAGGAACTAGAATGTGGGCCTCAAGAAAAGTGGGAGTGTAGTTCAGTGGTAGAACACTCATCTAGCATGAGTAAAGCCCTCAGAACAATCCTTATTACTCAGGGAGGAAAAAGATGGGAGAGGCTATTATGCATAAAATATACCATAGAACCCCGAAGTGGGTGAGGGAGAGAGGCCCAAAAATAGCATCAACAACACAATGGTGATTTTGTTTTGTGCTGGTACTGGGGCTTGAACTCAGGGCCTCTCAATCTTGCTCAGCTTTTTTGCTCATGGTTGGCAGGCTCTTACCCCTTAAGCCAGCTGTACCACTTTCAGCCTTTTGCTGGCAAATTGATGAGAAGAAACCCAAAGACATTTCTGCCGGAGCTGGCTCCAAACCACGATCCTCAGATCTTAGCCTCCTAAGTAGCTAGAATTACAGGCATGAGCCACTGGCGCCCAGCTGTACATTATATAAGTACTTATTTATACCTTGAGTAACATGTAGCAGCAGAGCTAATTCTGTAATTTCAAAGTAGTGATAAGTATAGGATATATTTTGAGATACCTGCAACTACTTTATGTGATACGAAAATATCAGATTTCCAATGGTGACAAAGTCATAGAACTGTGAATACCGCTATATCTCATTACTACACTTTATTGAAGAAAAGGCTAAATTTTACCCAGAGATAGTTAAAACAAAGAGGCAGCTTATATGCTGATTGAAGTTCATAGAACTCTGAAATTCTAACCACATCCTCGTGTATGGATCCCAGGTTTTAAAATAATGGTTTTAAACTAAAGCATCATAGATCAGATCTGGGTTTGAGAAAGATGACAGAGCACTGTTCACTTCCCAGACTCTCTTTGGGTGGGGGGTAGTAAACTGGCTATTCTGTTCTGCCTTTACCTCTGGAGAAGCAGCTCACAAACCTGTTACTAACCCACTATTGACTGACAAGACCTGCATTCATTCATGTGTATGAGGGAGTGGTCCTAGGATATAAATCAAGATAAGTTAGAGCTATTTGGGGGGAAATCATTCTTTGGTAGTACTTAATTTGGTAAACAATGGAGAGTTGGGGCTGGGAAGGTGGCTCAGTGGTAGAGCGCTTGACTTGCATGCATGAGGCCCTAGGTTCAATTCCTCAGCACCACATAAGCAAAAAGAAAAAAGCCGGAAGCGGCACTGTGGCTCAAGTGGTAAAGCACTAGCCTTGAGCTGAAGAGCTGAGGGACAGCGCCCAGGCCCAGAGTTCAGGCACCATGACCGGACCCAAAAAAAAAAAAAAAAATGGAGAGTTGTTCAAATGTTTGAAGAATAATAACTGAATCTTGAGAAGAAGGGGGAGAAAGAGGGAGAGGGAGAAGGAGAGGGGTGAGGTTGATTGGAACAATCTTATACATGGGTGGAAATGTAACCATGAGATTACATTTCAAAAAAATTGAGCTAATTTTTTTTAAGCCTGAATCTTGAAATGATAATCTGCTATCAATGTACTTGCCAGTCTAAAGAAACATAGGTTGAAGAAAATTATACAGCTTTTCACAAATCATGAGCTGCAGTATTGGGGTCAGCTAGCATCCTATGTGATCAAGTGGCAAGCCCACTCAGTTTTATAAGTGGAAGTATTGGTGCTTCATAAGTCATTGGAATACCTCATAGAGGTTGGAAGATTTTAGGCCTTTCTTGATCAAATTCCATTTCTACTTGAGTGAGTCATTCGTTTCTGCCTTTTTAAGGTCTGGACACCTCTCTTGACAATTCTTGAAACCTCTTAGATGACTAAAACTCACTAAAAAAAAAAAAAGGAAAATGCACACAGACCCATCTTTAGAAACTAGGAAGACTAAATGATGTGAAAACTGCTAAAATCCCATCTAGTTACCTAGATGATGTGCTTATTAAGCACATGACTCAGAAACTTGAATCTGGGGTTTCAGTATTACTAATGCAAATGAGTCATGTAAAAGTTACTTCACTTCCAGAACCTCCAGCATCATTAGCCTGTGTTGTCTTTTTGCCCATCACATGATTAGAAGCCCCTAGGGTAATATGGCTCCATACAAACTGAATAGGCAGGGCATGCAATTCAGTTCTCTATCTTTGACCTTCCCTCTTTTGGAAGAGGGACCATGTAAGAAGTCTTAACTGAAAGCAGAAATCATAATTTAGGAAGTTCATTGAGAGTTTTTTCTGCAAGTCCCTTCCTCTGGCTTCCAATTACATTTCTACCTCTTCCACCGTTATGTTTTAAAAGCATTTAGATCATAGTCCTGCTACCTAGCAGACTTGTCTCATTTATACTTCCTACATCAAATATCTGTATTATAGGTATGAAAACCTTAGGTCTATCTTCCTTCTTTATTACCAATGAGTAAAAGTGGTCTGAGACTTAAGTTCCTTCAAAGTAGGAGTTTAAGGATTTCTGATCTTAGCTAATTTTCTCACAGTTGTCGAAATAACTTGGGACTTTATATTAGCAGCTACAACTATTGCTTGTTGGAAATATTTAGCCCCATTGAATAATATATAATTCAAATTTGGTCAGAAATCCAAAAGTAGTATTGTTAATTAATTTAAAGACTAATTGGTGCCCAGCGCCGGTGGCTCACGCCTGTAATCCTAGCTACTCAGGAAGCTGAGATCTAAGGATCACAGTTCAAAGCCAGCCGAGGCAGAAAAGTCTGTGAGACTCTTATCTCCAATAAACCACTAGAAAACCAGAAGTGGTGCTGTGGCTCAAGTGGTAGAGCTCTTGCCTTGAGCTGAAGAGCGCAGGGACAGTGCCCAGGCCCAGAGTTCAAGCCCCACAACTGACCAAAAAAAAAAAAAAGACTAATTAGTAAGGCAGAAAGTTCTATATATCATAACTGGGTCCAATTGAACCCTCTTTTATGCTATAATGAACTCAAATTCTTTATTTCATAAAATATTTATTAATCCATGACTATATGTCAAGCACATTTTTGAAACCCATTAGCTAGCAATTTGTAGTGGCAGTTTACTTCCTAACTACCTTAGAAAAAAAAAACTTGCCAGGCTTAGAAATCCACAGGATAAATAAGATTAAAAGTTGATGACTTTTTTTTTTAAGCCAGGCACAGTGGCCCACACCTATAATCCCCTCTATTCTGAGACAGAGATTGTGAAGATGGCAGCTCAAGCACTATCTTATCTATCAAGCACTATCTATCCATTCAGTACACACCTATCATCCTAGCTACACTGGAAGAGTACTTTTGATTGACACCTTATTATAAAGTCATTTGTCAAA